GACTTTCCTAATTTTTAAAGCCTGATTCAAAGAGCTTTTACACACAATACTTTACAGTGTGTAGAGTAAATACATCACACAAAAGGGAATGTATTTACTCTCTCTCTCTCTCTGACAACTGACAAAATCAAATTATTTACATATAAAACATTCAAATCGAATACTTCAGAAAGCGTAAGCCAAGACAACAATGACTGTTGCTGTAGATAAATTCAACCGTTTGATTTGTCTGGGCCTCAGGCATCAGAATTTGTCACAATCACAATATACAACCAAGTACTCTATGACACACTTACATATAAAGATGTCTGCTCTTCATATATGAAGAGTTCATAAGCAACAACATTAAACCCAGCAGGCTCATGATCTGCTGATTTTAATGATTGGATTTAGTTTATCATCTCATTTGATTATTATTATCTGCTTCTTATATCAAACAATACCAGTCAACTAGCAGTGAAAGTAAAGAACTCACCCTGTACAAGGAGCATGAAGACGGTGAACAGCAGCTTCACTTCCATCTCAGTCACCCACTAACAACGTCTCTGCTGTGTTTCCTCATTATTTGATGTATTTGTACTCTGCTGAGGGACCTTCCGTGACGTAACAACTCTGTGGTTTCCACTAACGTTTTTATTCTAGGATTCTCATGTAACTACAGTGATTCTACAGTGAAAGCAAAAGCAGAAGAGTTCAATTTTAATTCCTCATAAGCTCTTTCTGAAATTTGAAGTATATTGTCTGCTTGATAATTTTATGATGCCCATAGAGTGAACTAGTATTTAGGCTGCATCACAGTTAAAAAATTATAATTTATGCTATGTATTTATCTATAATACATTTCTAGTTAACAGTATAGTCATTTGCTTTTGGAAATCCCTGGAAATTTCATCAGCTGTTTCTATCTGTAATCTGTTTCTGTCGGTCTCTCTCTCTCTCTCTCTCTCTCACTATGTTTTACATCTGTCCAGGTTTTAGCCAATCAGACGTAGAAGGACTCAAATGGAAAACAAGGATTGAGCCAGAATGTACTGGAAGCTCACTGATGTTCTGCAAGCTGATTGGCTCACAAGCCATGGGGAAGCTTCATACAGAAGCCAGGCTGGCCTGTGTTCATCTGCTGGAGGAGAGTCAGACTGCGGCAGTCCGAGGCCACATCATCATCCAGGTAGGATGTCTTTCTATAGACTGTCCAAACAGTTGTGCAAACCTCATGTTTGTAATGCTGCTTCTTAAGGCCAAATATCACAGACAGTGGTCTATGTTTTACTGTGGTACAACATTTATAGTGACATCATTGATTTCTATTAAAATAATATATGTATAATGTTATTAGGATGCATAGAGAGCACATGTACATGTTTGTCATTCCTCTGATATAATCTTATCACAAATTATATTGAATTTTAAAGTTAATGTAAATTGAATGAATGTGCTAGAAATGATGTTACTTTGAGAATACTCAAGGTGTCAGTTTTAACAATCTGAAAGCTTGGTGAATAAATGCAGAACTGCGTCTTTAGTGCAGCAGGCCAACTTTGCCTTTAGGCCGCAAGCTGTGGGAGAGCTGTCTCCCCCTGATGGTCCAGGGATCAGCAGTTTCACTTGAGCTCCAGCGTGATGCTGCAGAATTCAACTCACTGTCCTTCATGCTGCACAGACCTGCCCTGCCCATCAATATCACTTAAAAACTCTTTATGCACTAAGGGCGGGGATACAATGAGGCATTGTGCACTATGCTGTGTGCCTAAAGACTTTACAGGCAGCCTTCTCTCAACTTTGCCCAAAGCCCCTTTGTACTTTTTCAGTTCAGAATATATTGTGTTTCCAAGAGCTACAGATAGCTTCCTGCCACTAACGTCTGATCCGAGGCAAACATCAGGACAACAGGATATTGTATAACAGTGCACTATATCTGTCACCTGGAAGGTGCTGAAGGTTTTAAGCTTTAAAAATGGTAGATTTTCTGTCTTTAAATGATGTTCAGGTGTGGGTGACTACTTCACATTTGATATGACAACCTAAAACTACTTTATTTACTGTAGAAAGTAATAGATGGAGCCCTGTTCACTGAGTGTTATTGCCCCCTGCTGGAATACCATTAACGATTGATTGTTTCACTTTCACAGAGTGATCATGTCTAAGGGACCAGCAGTTGGTATTGATCTCGGGACCACCTACTCCTGTGTTGGTGTGTTCCAGCATGGAAAAGTTGAGATCATTGCCAATGACCAGGGCAACAGGACCACACCCAGCTATGTGGCCTTCACAGATACAGAGAGGCTGATTGGAGATGCAGCCAAAAATCAGGTTGCCATGAACCCCACCAACACAGTCTTTGGTAAGGGTAGTGCAGGAGATGTGATATGAATTCATATGAGATCAGCTCCTGCTGATGTGAAAATCTGAGCTATTATATTATGAGCTATAGTATTTATTTCCATTGTTTACTTGGCATTGCAGATGCTAAACGTTTAATTGGCAGAAGATTTGAGGATCCAGTGGTTCAGTCTGACATGAAGCATTGGCCATTCGATATTATTAGTGATAGTGGACGCCCCAAAGTGGAAGTTGAATACAAAGGTGAAACTAAAACCTTCTACCCAGAGGAAATCTCTTCCATGGTGCTGACAAAGATGAAGGAGATTGCTGAAGCCTACCTTGGGAAGGTGAATTTCAATATATGTTGAGTAATAATCAACAGCCTTGCAACAGTTTTACTTAACACTTCACTATTATTTTTTTTCAGTCTGTGTCAAATGCTGTTATTACAGTACCTGCATACTTTAATGACTCGCAACGTCAAGCAACCAAGGATGCTGGAACTATCTCTGGTTTAAATGTGTTAAGAATCATAAATGAGCCTACTGCAGCAGCCATCGCTTATGGTTTGGACAAAAAGGTAAGATTTAAATTAGTAGTCAAAGTGTAATTATTGACATAGATCCTCTGTAAAGTCATGCTAACCATTTTTCCAGGTTGGATCAGAAAGGAACGTCCTCATCTTCGATCTTGGTGGTGGCACCTTTGATGTGTCCATCTTGACCATTGAGGATGGCATCTTTGAGGTCAAGTCCACCGCTGGAGATACTCATCTTGGTGGGGAAGATTTCGACAACCGCATGGTCAACCACTTCATCGCTGAGTTCAAGCGCAAGTACAAGAAAGACATCAGCGACAACAAGAGAGCTGTCCGTCGTCTGCGCACCGCTTGTGAGAGGGCAAAGCGCACATTGTCTTCCAGCACCCAGGCCAGCATCGAAATCGACTCCCTGTATGAGGGAGTTGACTTTTACACCTCCATCACCAGGGCTCGCTTTGAGGAGCTCAATGCTGACCTCTTCCGTGGCACACTAGACCCTGTGGAGAAGTCTCTCCGTGACGCCAAGATGGACAAGTCTCAGATCCATGACATTGTCCTGGTCGGTGGCTCCACCCGTATTCCCAAGATCCAGAAGCTGCTCCAGGACTTCTTCAATGGAAAGGAGCTCAACAAGAGCATCAACCCTGATGAAGCTGTGGCCTACGGAGCTGGTAAGAATTGTCTGCCAATTGATGTGCATCACTTAGTTTTTTAGACTTGGGCCGTGATATCAATAAGTGTTTAGCACCTGAAGGTCAAGTTTCAAACTTAATATAATTTTCTATATGCCAACTGCTGTTTTGTCTTTACAGCTGTCCAGGCTGCCATCCTGTCTGGTGACAAGTCTGAGAATGTGCAGGACCTGCTGCTTCTGGATGTCACCCCCCTGTCCCTGGGTATTGAGACTGCTGGAGGCGTCATGACTGTCTTGATCAAACGCAACACCACCATTCCTACTAAGCAGACCCAGACCTTTACCACCTACTCTGACAACCAGCCTGGTGTGCTCATCCAGGTGAGCACGTGTTTTAATGATTCTTTTTCTTGTCACCTTGTTTGCCCCCCCTGAGGCCTTCCTTGTGTGTTTGAGCTGAATAAAGTTGATAGAACTGTAGACGAACATGTTTTAAACATTGTCTCCTAACACACTTCAACAGGTTTATGAGGGTGAGCGTGCCATGACCAGAGACAACAACCTGCTGGGCAAGTTTGAGTTGACAGGCATCCCTCCTGCTCCTCGTGGTGTTCCCCAGATCGAGGTGACATTTGATATTGATGCCAACGGCATCATGAATGTCTCTGCTGCTGACAAGAGCACTGGAAAGGAGAACAAGATCACCATCACCAATGACAAGGGTATTGAATGCTACTCCACCCTAATTTAACTGCAGTGTTTTCCCAGCATCAGATGATAAATGCTAATCTTACATATTTGATGACAGGTCGTCTCAGCAAGGAGGACATTGAACGCATGGTCCAGGAGGCTGAGAGGTACAAGACAGAGGATGATGTCCAGCGTGACAAGGTGTCTGCAAAGAATGGAGTGGAGTCATATGCTTTCAACATGAAGTCAACTGTGGAGGATGAGAAGCTCGCTGGCAAGATCAGTGATGAAGATAAGCAGAAGATCTTGGACAAGTGCAACGAGGTCATCAGCTGGCTGGACAAGAACCAAGTGAGGATTGGTGGATTGGCAGTACAGGTTTTGACATGGATATAATATTCTTTTAAATGTCATCATTTAGTAGGACATAAAGTATAATTCCACATTTAATTTAATTTGTCTAGGCCTTTACAGGATAGCATCTGCTAAACCACTTACATTTTATTCATATAATAAGATAAAGGTGACTTAATGTGCAATCACTAGTGTTTTCTATAATGCAAATTTCCATGTGAGAGCTTGCAGACATTTATTTCTCTGGCCAATCACCAAATATAAGTCTGCAGAAATTCCAATGAGGAGCCAATTTTAGAAAACAGCAGGAGATCTTCTGAAAGATTCACAGTGTGTTGTGATGATGTTTCCAACAAGTGACAGATGCAAAAAAGGAATACAAACATCTCAAGCAGTACCACACAAATAGAAGACAGACAAAAACGTAAAGAGAGCTTTTGGTGATAAGGGCCAATACCAATGTGCTGTAAACCAAAAAATGAGATCTCGGCAGAGGAATTTCAATTATTACATCCTGCCTCTGCTTGCTCCACAAGCCCTCACCTGAACACTCTGCTCTATTGTTCATGTGTGAGATGGAAACTCCAGGGGTCCTGTCTGAAAACATCTTCTGACTATAGAGCTTGAAGTGAACTGCAAATTCTAATTGTCAAGTAATTCCTACTAGAATGAGAATATATGATTTCATTTCTTTGTACTAGACTGCCGAAAAGGAAGAGTATGAACATCAGCAACAGGAACTGGAGAAAGTCTGTAACCCCATTATCTCCAAGCTGTACCAGAGTGCTGGGGGCATGCCAGGTGGGATGCCCAGCGGAATGCCAGGAAGCTTCCCTGGAGCTGGTAGAGCTCCTACTGGCGGTGGATCCACTGGACCAACCATCGAGGAGGTTGATTAGTCAGTGTCATACCACTTAGCAAAAAAACAAGCATGAACAATATCAGCACCCTAATAAGTAAAGTCAGATTCCAGAGTGAAGAAGCGGACTTCCAGCAAAAAATGCATGTGCAGGGTTGTGAGCAGATTAATAAATAATGACTGAAGCATGCAATTTGAAATCTGTTATGCTTTATCTCTTTGTCTTTGGTGCACATTATATGAACATGCATACTTCTGCAGTGGACACTTTCCTGTGAAGATCCTTGCACCACTGACCTAAATTGTAAGGTAGAAAATATTTAGAGATGAGAAAAACTGGATGAATGTTTCAGCAGTTGATGAGCCTTGCTTTAATAAAAATGACTATGGTCTCAGAAGATGAAAAGTGACAGCACTATCATTTCTCTGAGGTTCTCTGCAAGGTGTTGGGACTCTGGGAACCACATCATTATTTAAATTACATACAGTTTAAACTCATTTGAAGAGAATGCACCATACTGCACCAAGATAAATTATACATACCAATATCATATCACATATTAAACAAATGCAATCTGTTATAACTGTCTATAGCCTCATTGTATCTCCTAATAATTTTTTTAATGTCATTTTGTAGTACTCTTTTTGCTGCCCTTTACTATATGACACTGAGGAATATATACACTTAATCTTGATATAAAAAAGCCTCCTTTGATGCAAAAGACAGATTCTAACTGTGCAGCAGCTTAAATTGAAAGTTTAAAACCCTGTTCACCCACTGCCCCTGCACTGACCTCTCTACAGACAGACAGCAGGCCAGTACATACACTGTTGTAATAGTTTGCGCACTAGTTGTAATTTTAAGAATTTGCTTTTCTCCAGATTTCAATTCGTTTCAAAAAATTATGAGGAATCACAGTGCAGAATGTGTGGAACACAAGTGTCCCCCTCCCACAGAGCTAGAATCAGGGGCATCAAAACAAAGCATCTCAGACATTCTTTAGTAGCAGCAAATCACACAATTATCTCAAACAACGATCTTAATCTTTTGAACCTTTAAATCACTGACAAATAATCATGTTCCAACCAACACATTTCCACTGATCAGCTCCAGTTACAAACACAATGAGCTGAAAGGGAAGACGGTGTTAATTGCAGTGGAGTGGGAACACTGAGTGTGGAGCTGTGGCACTGTGAGGTCAGAGAAGCTGCAGCTCGTTTGCCTCTGTCTGTTTGTTCTCTCACAAAGACTGCAAGTCCCCGGATGAAAACAAAATAAAGACTGGGTGTATTCGCCCTGTGCCAGAAGGCAGCAGGATATTTATTGGAACATGACATAAACAATACAACAATTTAGCATGTTTTGTAGCAGCAATGCGAAAATAAAAAACACCACCCCCCTAGGATTGGTCCATGTTGACAACGGGATTTTTCCCCTTCTTGTTGCAGAGGCCTTCATTATCCCCAGCCTTTGGAAAGCGCCTCCATTTTCCACACCAACAACACAACAGTGGCTACAGAGCAGTCTATGAATAGTCCCGATGAGAAGCGAGTGGATGTTTACAACGTAGAAACAGCAACACCACACACTGCCCCCTGTTTGAAAGGTTCGTCCATAAGCAGAAAAACAAACACTGGTAGGAAAATCAGCCGGTTCCCAGCTGAGCCTTTAGTCCCGACTGACTCCAGGGCCAGCGGGGAGTCTTTACTTGCTCTTGGCCGGTTTCTCCGTCTTCTTGGGGAGGAGGACAGCCTGGATGTTGGGCAGCACACCTCCCTGAGCGATGGTCACACCTCCCAGCAGCTTGTTGAGCTCCTCGTCGTTGCGCACAGCCAGCTGGAGGTGCCGTGGGATGATCCTGGTCTTCTTGTTGTCCCTGGCCGCGTTACCTGCCAGCTCCAAGATCTCAGCGGTCAAATATTCCAGCACGGCCGCCAAATACACCGGAGCCCCGGCGCCGACGCGCTCCGCATAGTTGCCTTTGCGCAGTAGCCTGTGGACGCGACCCACCGGGAACTGGAGTCCTGCCCGAGAGGAGCGAGACTTGGCCTTCGCTCGCGCTTTGCCTCCGGTTTTCCCTCTGCCAGACATGATCGTTTATATGTGGTTGTTGACGATGAGGCGCTGTCAGGACAATGGCGATTACGCGAGCACGGATCTGCGCGTAGCGGAAAAAAAAAACCCTGTAAATCTATATAAACCACAGAGGCTTCTCCGATTGGTGGAGTGAAGCTGAAACACACGAACCAATGGCGCGGCGCGTCTTGCGTTAATGTCTGTCCTCCGATCAAGACTGCTCCAATGGTGGAGAAGGAACGGCGCACAGGCATTTGCACTGCTATGTTATAAGTACAGGGTGGTGATGGGGCGGTATCCAGCGCCGTGTCCCTTCCTGTCTCTCCACTGACGCGTGTATAGCAGAAAAATGCCTGATCCTGCAAAATCAGCCCCTGCGCCTAAGAAGGGCTCCAAAAAGGCCGTGACCAAAACCCAGAAGAAAGGAGACAGGAAGCGCCGCAAGAGCCGGAAGGAGAGCTACGCTATTTACGTGTACAAGGTGTTGAAGCAGGTGCACCCAGACACGGGGATCTCCTCCAAGGCCATGGGCATCATGAACTCCTTCGTCAACGACATCTTCGAGCGCATAGCCAGTGAAGCGTCGCGGCTGGCGCACTACAACAAGCGCTCCACCATCACCTCCAGGGAGATCCAGACCGCTGTCCGCCTGCTGCTGCCCGGCGAGCTGGCGAAACACGCCGTGTCCGAGGGCACCAAGGCTGTGACCAAGTACACCAGCTCCAAATAGAGTCTCAGCACGAGGGGGGGGACACAAGTCACCAAATCATCACAGACGATCTTCAAAGCCCCCTTAGTGTGTCGGGAAGCTGCGTCTGTGATTTTGCGCCACTGTTGTCTTTGGAGAGAAAGAATGCCAAATGATTCCAGGCCTTGCTCTGAATATCCTGAGACATAGTGGAACTTTAGCCTGCCATTCTGTTTTAAATCAGTTTGAGTTGTGTCACGTTTTTAACAAGTCTCTAAATAAATCTAGAATAAAATATACGTTGGTGCTCTCGATCTGTGGATCCTCCTCTGCTTTGCACCTTTTTAATACTTATTAACTTACATGCACTTTAACAGCTGAAGTAAACATTGTGGGATTAAAACTGTGACTTCTACTTGTGAGCAGTGTGTGTTTGGGTTTCTAACTTTCTACATCGTGATGTCCATTTTCTCCACACAGTAAGGCTTACAAGTTGTGGAACAGCGACACCACGTGGTGGCTGGAGTTGATGTGGGGACAGTATGCAGACGTGCACTGTTAATTAAACACATCTATGGCTAAGGCATTCATACGTGTATGCTGAGAAATCAAATGGTAAAGCTTTCTTTATGGTCCATCACTCCAGATGGGTCTTTTAGTAAATTATGTTTCTGGAAAAAAAGAAAAATTCCACTCAATAAAATGTGTTGACATCTTATATCCTTAATACCCTTACCCAGCCAGTGAAAAAGCATGATGTTATGGGATTTAATTTCAAGTATTGTTTATTAATTCATAGATTTTGGTCACATGATTAAGGGTAACATTAATTGATGTATATAATAATCATCAAAAGCAGGGTGGCTATGATACCATGCTGATCCAGTTACTGTAAAACACAATGAAAGGAGCAGGTTCAATCACGGATGAAGTGGATGTTAAGGCCCTTAGGTAATTGGAACAGAAATCAAAGAGTGGATGGGAATAAACCTTAATGCAGCTGATGAAGAACACAAACTGAGGCAGGTTCAAGTTCAAAGTCTTAGCTGAAGAAGTGATGTGTGTTACTTGTGCGTCACATGACAGTGACGTCCCCTTTCAGAAATGAATACAATTTTACATTAAAGATTTGTTGGTTATTCTTAGCATAGATAGATCCAGTATGTGCCAATGAACCAGATGCTGATCCAGATCGTAATTAATCCAACCTGATTCATGAGAGAGGAATTCATATCACACATAAACATTCATACCTGGTGCAAATCTTTGCAGCCAGGATTAAGAAAAAGTAGATCTCAAGAGGTTCCCTTTGGATAATAACCCACTCAGATACACTTATGGCTGTTGAATGGGAAAAGGGACTAACAGGACACTTGCTCAATGCGGAGCTCAGTGTAAGATCATCTCCCCTCCATTGTTCAGCTCGGGCTTCAAGGTTCCTGGAAGGGATCTGGGGGGGATTTGTGGTTCAGGTGACAGTTTAAGGAGGTTTTGTTTGGCAGGGTGTGCCTTTCTCTCCAACTCTGAGATGGTGTGCAGGAGACCTCATTTCTGAACAAAGACTGATAGCCCCCGGCAGAAGTGTAGGAATATAACAAAAAAAACATGCAAGTGTGAACAGAATTCATAAAATGGCCTATTTTGGTAAAAATGTCTGAAACAATTCCACAGGTGTTAACTTTCCGGTTATGTAATGTCTTCAGGATGTTGCTTTAAGTTCTCATGTATACGTTTTTTGTAGTTTCCACTATATTTTGTTCTGATTTTGCTGGAAGTTAAATGTTTTGTAATATTCTA